GGGGGGGGATACAACCATCCAGATGATTTGGAAAAATCTTGGATCTTTTCTAAAGCTTCATAATTTTAGCATAAGAAATGCAAGACAGCAGGCTGAAAAGATGGCTTAGTGTCAAGAGAACTCGCTGCTCTTCCAGAAGACCTGGGTTTAGTTTCCAAAACCCACACAGTGGCTTACATTGACCTGCAACTCTAGTTCCAAAGGGTCTGATGCATTCTCCTGGCCTCCGTGTACACCAGGCACACATGGGGTGCACAGACACATATGCAGGTCATACACCCATAAGAAGAAGAACAGAACAAAACACATGTTCAAAATCCCTTCCCAGTGAAGTAAATTTTCCTTTGGTCAATTCCTTCCATTTTCCAACCAAAGAAATATAATTTTTTTTATGAGGGTACACTACCGTTTTCTCTCTGTGTGGCTGGGAACCTCTTTCTAACAGAGCTTGCTGCTTTTAACAAGTCAAGGTGACAACCTGGGATTCTGAAGAGGTCATTCAGATTCTAGAACTCCTTCATTTTACCATCAGTGAATCCAGCTGATTTTGGTTTTATCCTCTGAGCTCTTCTGTGGGCTTTTGCAAATTCTACATTGTGCCAACTTCAGATGGCAAAGTATTTGGGGTAGATAAAGGCTAAATTATTGGAAAGACAGCAGTTTGGAGAAATACTTGCTTAGCCTGGTTTCTGTAAGAATCCTAAAAATAGTGCTGGGAATGATGTGCAATTTGTAGGAAAACTAAAGAAGGCTTGTCGCTGGCAAGAGTTTCTGCTTCTCCTTCCTGAGATGACAAAGGAAGGAAGAAAGAAGGGACAAGACAGCCCTAGCTGGATTTAGAGAAATCAAGAGCAGAAGGGACCTGTGCACCCAGCAAGATGTGAGCGAGACACTCTGATGGTGAAGCTCCCCATTCCAAGGCACACGGAAGAAGAGCAGATGCTCTAAGAGAGAAGCAGAAAGTCTCATGTGCCCTGACCATCCCACAGATCATCCCAGAGGTTCCAGATTCCCTGTCCGAACTACTCACTTAGGCTGAGAGGGAATGTGTACCTGGGAAGGTGTGCTGCCTGTCATGCCAGTGGCTCTGGTCACTGGCTGCTGTGGGCGAAGGGACCCAGAAGCTACAGCTACCACAGTGAATTCAGTGGTGACGGAGGCTACTTGCCCTCAGGCAGGTGGAGGGCAAACCACATCTCAGCAGAAGCCAAGAGTCCAACTGTCCCCTCCCCAACACTACCCCAGAACATACACACTGCCTGAAATCCAGGGGCCACCAGGAAAGAACAAAACATAACAGTACAAAATAAGTACATGCATGAATATAAAAAGACAAATGAGCTTATTGGTGTTTATGTAACTAGCAGAAAGGTGAGGCAACAAGTAAAATGAGATAAACCTGTTTATAACTTCCAGCACTGACTGGGGAGGAGCAGTGTGGGTACAAGGCTACCTGCCTCTGCAGGGCCAGAGAGTATTCATGCAGAACCATGCAGCCTGGCACAGTGAAAACCCTTCCACAGCTCTCGGCATGAAAACCAGAGCTCAACAGACTGACACAGCTGCCGCTGTGACCTGAGCACGCTCCTGCATCCAGAGGCATCCAGAGGCTCATCTACCAGGCAGTTTCTTCTGTACGTCCTCTGCAACCGATAGCTGAGAACTTCACCCTCGCTGACACAGGACACCCGAATCACTCAGGGCTCAGCATCTGCTGCCCTTTCTGAACTCTGGAGTATGACCCACTTCAATTAATTTCACAGCAATCCTATCTGGACCCAACGATCAAAGTTCAGCCCTCTGATGGCCAAACTACATCTTTTCCAATGGGGTTTAAAATCCCTCTATGTATGTTCTTTTAGGGAAACTTTCATCCCCAGAGTACCTGTCTCAGGGTTTCTATTGTTGTGATAAAACACCATGATCAAAAGCAACTTGGGAATAACAGGTTTGCTTCACCTTACAGCTCTCCTTCACGCTCTGTCTCTATGAGAAGCTGGGGCAGGAACCGGGAGGCAAGACCTGAAGAGAGGCAATGGAGGGGCACTACTTACTGGCCTGCTAAGCCTCCTTTCTTGTGCATCTGGAGACCACCTGCCTATGACAGCACTGTCCACACTAGGCCTTTCCACATCAATATCAAAGAAGAACATGCACCACAGGTTTCCCTAGAGCCAGTGCAATGAAGGTTTCCATGACTCAGACAACCCTAGCCTCAGTCAAACTAACGAACACTAGCTGGCACAGGCGCAAACACCCTCCTTTTATCTTAGCACTACTGCTCATCACAGCTAGAAATTCTTCCTTTTGCACCCCACCTGTTTAATGTATTGCATGGTTTCTACATCCTGGTTAGAGCTGAGGTGCAACATAAACTCTGTATTAAACCTAAGTCCACAAGTTTTCCCACTGCTGCTTTCCTCAACTGATACAAACAGAGGAGGAAATTTCCTTCCTCCACCCTGAGGTTAGCCCCACCCACAGACGTCTGCACATCTAGTTAAGAGCACTGGGCAAGGTCCAGGCAAGACTCCACCTTGACCCTGGGCAGTGCACACGGCAGTGCCGTGTGCAGGATGCAGCGCTGACTGTATCAGGAGAATCCTATTTGCATTTCAAACATGCTATATAGCAATTGTCCGCTGAATTTTTTTTCAGCATTTCATTCTAGTACTTGTCATTTTAATGCTATATAATATCTCGGAATCTAGATACTCAGTTAGTTAAATTTAATATCCTGCTGTAGTAACTACTATGATAGGATTTCTGCTCACAAATAATATTAACAGAAGGTCTAACTTTATGGTAGGCAGTGAAGGAAAGCCTGGAGGCATATGACAGCTTGGGGCAATGCTCTACACTTAGAAGGTGTCCTTTTCTCAGCGTTCCACTTACTGATAAACTTGTTCTGCATAGTCTCCAGCAGGGCTTGGTGAGCATCTTCAGCTTGTAGAGCGCGTGAACATTCTCTAGCCAGTATGGTGCGCACAAGATGCTCTCCACATCCTGCAAGGCCAAGAAAAACATACTGAGGGAAAGCAACACTCAGCGCTTTGCTTGTCCCAGTAACAGAGCACCCTCGCACACGACTTACACAGGAGGGATGCGACAGGACAACTCAGTGACAGACTAAAATGGCTTCTATGAATCGTCTGATAACTTAGTAATAAGATTCTATACAAAATAAAGAAACACAGGTCTATTTAATCTCAAAAGAAAGTAGTTAAAAGTAAAAGAAATCCCTCTTTCAGGGAAATAACTTATGAAACATAGAAATGCAGATCTGTACCTAGGGTTCTGTCTCACTCCCACTGAGTAACTACAAACCATCCTGTTGGATGGTTTTAGACACCCATTCAAGAAATGGTACCTACAATTGTCAACCATTTTCTTTCTGACACTCCCTTTGCCTGGGAGGCAGAAATGTAGGCATGCAGTGTCAGGCTGAATCTGTCTTTGCCTGTTGTTTGTCAAGAGAATCATATAGCGACAGTGTGAAGGAGACATAATAAAACATCACCTTTCTCACATTCTCACAGTGACTCACAGTTTTCAGCAGTCAGGTCTCTCTGTAGTTTTAAAGAAAAGGTATATTTCAGGTCTAGAGAGATGGTTTACCAGTTAAAAGTACTTGTTCATACAGAGGACCTAGGTTAGCTTGCAGCCCCTATAAGATTCCTGTCTGTAAGGACAGGAATCTGACACCCTCTTCTGACTGCTATGGACAACACACACACACACACACACACACACACACACACACACACACAATGCACAAACATTCAAACACATGAAATAAAGACAGAAGGGAAGGAAGGGATGGAGAGGGAAAGAAGGAAGAGAAAAAGGGGGAGGGAGGAGGATCTTGACAGTGAGACAAACTTGGACCATTTAGACACAAGAAAAGTAGGTTCAGGAAGGTTTATACTGACTAGGAGTAATGAACTTAAGTTTTAAGGCAACAGTTACTACTGCAGAAACAGAGTCAAAAAACTTAGTTTAAGGACCTGTGAGTTCTAGTAAAACAATTTCTTGGAAAAGAGCAGCTTCCTTTCTACCAGGAAAAAATTCAACATTTAAATCTGGTATCACTATCTAAGGCATTTGTGAACCTAAAAGACAAGTGTATTTAACTTAGCTTCAGAAGGAGCTCCATAAGTGTCTGGGATCCATTCAGCTTCTCAGCAGGGCACTCTCCCCCTCCCTGGCCATTCTCTCCCCTCCCCCTTCTCTGCTTCCCACTCCACCTTTGGCCTCACTCTCTCCCTTGCTATCTCCCCTCATGCAGGCACACACACACACACACACACACACACACACGCATGCACACATGGTCACTTGCACTAAAGAGTCGATTAACAAAAGAGGGTCTGAACACTCAAAAGGAAACTTGGACTAAAATAGATAAATTAAGCAACCACTTTTATTTTTGTTTGTTCAAAAATGCATTCACTTTTAAATGTGGGCATGAACGTCTACGTGCCACGTGCATCCTGATGCTCGGAGGCGAAAGAGGCTGTCAGATCCCTTGGGGATAGAGTTGCAGACAAACAGCACTGAACATGTGGGTGCTGGGAATCAAAACCAGGTCCTCTGGAAGGGCAGCTAAGTGCTCTTAACATGTGATCTATCTTTCAGCAAGAAACCACTCCTAAATAATGGAATTGGGGTGAGAGGGAGGAATGTTGAAGATGAAACCCTATCTAGGGAAGAATTCAGCCACAGAGCTACAAGCTCCAGCCTCACAAATCCTTAAGCCTGTAAAATAAATGAAAACTGATACAAAGCTTAGCTCTCTTGTAGGTAGTATTACTGTGCTGAGAACCAAGCACTACTGCTATGTCTTAAGAAACATTATCTATAATAACCGTTATGCCATGTTGTCGCTCTTCATATATACACCTCTCCTCCTCTGTTCACTCCTCTTCAGTTATCTTCTTCCTTAAATATACATGCACACATGTATTCTGTACATACATATGCTATGTACACTCATTGCCAAGACACCAACAGTTCATGGAAGTGTGAACACAACTTTCAAACTGCCTGTTATTTTATGAAAATATCACCTCTCAAGATCTCTCTGAAAATATCTACACTTAGACAAATCTCCCCATGGAACTGAATACAGAACTTTATTGACAGGATTATATCAATTATTATTTTGTTCACTTTCTAAAATTCATTTTATTAAAAACATAATAAAACAAATAGTAAAAAAATATTTAATGCTATGTAACAGCATCGTGGTAAGATCACAAAATCCCATAAATTTTAATTCCCTTTGTGCATATATTTGATGTTGAATAAAGAAATGTTATATTTCAGGACAGTAGTGACAGAAAATTCACATATTACAAGCTAAACTACTGTTCAAAAGGTTATGTACACATGCCTCAAGTCAAAAAGCTAAACTACATGAAGTTATAACATTACATCAAAACTTCACATGTGAGGAAAACAAACAAACAAACAACCCAATGGCCTTTCTATAGACTAATGAAAATATCCTAAGGGAAAAAATAGGAAAACAACTCCATTCACAATAGCTCCAAACCAATCAACCAAATATGCAAACCTCGGAATAAACTTGACCAAGGATATACAGACTTCTACAATGAAAACTTTTTTAAAACACTGGAAGATGGAAATACCTCCTATGCTCAAGAATCAAAACAATAAATTTTAAGATGACTATCCTACCAAAACCAATCTACAGATTCAATATAATCACAATCAAAGTTCTAGCAACATTCTTCATAAAAATAGAAAAAACACATGTGCGCACACGCACACACACCCTAGATACCGAAAACAACCTCTGCTATATGAGTACTTACTGGAAGTATCATCACCAGAACTGGTTTCAAGTTACACTACAGAACCACAGTAATAAAAACCAGCATGGTACCATCACATAAACAGACAGACAAACAGGGATAGAATACAGAAGCCATATGCATGGCCATTCAACTATGGCTACCTGAATTTTTTTAATGTAAAAAAATAAACACTGGAGAAGGTGATTTCTTCAACAAATGATGCCAGGAAAAATGAATGCCTGCATGTAGAAGAATAAAATCAAAACCATCTCTCTCAGCCTGCACAAAAATCAACTCCAAATAGACTAAGAACCTCAACAGAAGACATGAAAATTCAAAACTACTGGAGGGAAAACTAGGAAGTGATCTTACAGTTATCTGCACAGCTAAGACTTCCTGAACCAGACTCTGATTGCTCACAAAAGGTCAATAATCAAAAAATGAGATCTCAGGAAATTAAGTGGATTCTAAACACAAAGGACACAGTTAATCAAGTGAAGAGGAAACCTAAAGAATGGAGAAAATCTCTCAGCTATAAATATTGCAGAGGATCAGTATCTAGAATATAAAAAGAACTCAAGAAACTAAACATTAAACAATCCAAAAAGAATGCTCTATGGAACTGAACACAGGGTTCTAAAAAAAAAACAACAACAACAACAAAACACACTACTACAAATGGGGAGTAAGTGATCAGCACCTTATTAACAATCAAGAAAATGAAAATTAAAACTATTTTGAGATTTCCTCTTATCCACGTTAGAATGGCAAAACTGAAAGAAAGCAACAAATGTTTGAGCAGATGTGGGGAAATATTTGTTTACTGTTGACAGGATTACACACTACGGAAATCAGTGTGGCAGGTCCTCAAAACACTAGACACAGATCAACCATATTAATTAGCTATTCCACCCCGGGTATATACCTAAAGAACTCTATATCCTACTACAAAGATGCTAGCTAATCCATGTTCACTGTTGTTCTATTTACAATGACCCAGAAATGGAAAACAATCCAGTCATTCAACTAATAAATAGATACTGAAAATATGGATGGATCTGCACAAAAGAAAGCTATTCAGCTATAAAAGAAAGTAAATTATGAAATTTGCAGGAAAATTGAGAACTAAAAAAACATATACTTAAATAAGGTAACCCAGATAAACACTGCACACTCTTAGCTTCAAAAGTTTAGATCTGTGGGTTTAATTCGGTGTGCCTTTGGAAGTCGGGAAGCTAGAAACAGCACATATGGAGAGGAAGTAAAGAAAGGAGGATTAAAGGAATGGTGAGTGAATAGAAGAACACGCACGATACCAAAGACGGAAGGGCAATACTAGCAGTTGAAAGTTTAAGCAGGGATGGGGATGAGGAAGAAGAGAGAATGAGAGTGAGGTTAACCAAAACTAAGCATGTATGGAAAAACCTTATGGTTATCCCTGCTTTGCATGCTAATTAAAACAACAAAAGAGAGTTTGAGTGGTCATACATTGTATGAGTGGACAATGCTCTCTTCAATAAGACATGAGTTATTAAATTAAAGTCTTGGTGCCTAGTGCAGAATACACTCTTGGAGTAATTACTCAGCACGAGATCACCAAAACAATGTAGGCTTTTGCCACTGCTCTTGGATGCATACCACAGAGGACACAAAACACTTTGGTTATAGAATAAAAGGAATGTATTACCTAATTTTCATAGTGCCAGAAGGCACCAGACAGGGGGAAATAATGGTTTTCCTTAGTGCTGGACCTTGAATGCTACAATACTAGCCTGCCAGACAAGATATCTCTAGTGTAATAGTGACATGAAGGTTATTGGGGTAACCAATGCTGTCTGATTGGATCTGAGGCCTGCTTCACATGTGGGAATTCATGCCAGGTACCACAAACCTGACTAAAAGTACATAGTTCAGGAGGTCCTGGGCATGAAGGGGACCTATTACTGTCGCTTGCTTAAATGGATATGCAATCAAATTGCCTTCTAAGTGTGTGTTTAAATTCACAGATTAGTGCTTATCTCAACACTGCTCACGGAAACTTCATTTTGCAGTGAGCAACAGTCAGTCCAGAGTTTCCCAACTGGTTAACGCTGTGAACAACTTCTTGGCGTTCAGCCCTTAATGGGCCGTTTCCATCAAGCCCATCGAAGTTTCGGGACTAGCATGCAGAACTGAGACTATGAG